GCCGAGCCCCAGCTCTTGTGCTTCAGCTCGCCATCAAGCCAGGGGAGGCAGTGCTGGGACAACTCGTGTCTCACACGCCCAGCACATCCCTGTCCCTGCAGCGGGGGTCTGATTCCCTCAACATCCACGGTGTCAGCAGGAACAGCTCTGCTCCGTGGGTGCTTTTGCCAGATTAAAGTGCAGGGGTTGGAAACCCGAGGTTGGACTGGACCTGGCTAAAGATGGCTTAGAGAAATGCAGCCAGAAGGTCAGCTAACATTTTCTCTCTCAGTATATTAATGAACAGAAAGTTTGGGAGAAAATCAGAAACTCCCCAGGTCCCCCCACTGTCTTTAACAGTCAAAAGCCTAATAGCATAAAAAATCCTAAAATTACTTTCTTCCAACTTCTCTCCCCCTGGACCTATGATGCTGACTTGAAAAGACAACATAATTTCCAAACCAGTGGAGGGAAGAAAAAAACCCTCAAATCAATAAACTGTTGGCCCTGGAGCACAGATGCCCTGGCAAGGCCAAAGAAATTAAGTCCTGAGATTGCTGTTGCTGTTTCCACCTTGTCCTGCAGAGACACAGCCAGGGATAAACATATTCTTTGTGTCAATATTTCTGTAGTACTGAGAGAACTTACAGTCCTTATCTGTGAGTGTCAAGGACTGCTAAGTTAATGTGATCATAACATTACTGGAGAGTCTGACAGGCTTTTTTGTTCCCTATGTAACTGTTCTGGTGCTGAAAGCCCACTAGTGAAGCCCACTAGAGCTCAGCTGGATGTGACCATGGGCTTTGTGGCACATGGAAGGGATCCATCTGCAGGAGACTAACTTAAAAAAAACCAAAAAAAATCCTCAAACAACACACAAAACCAAAAATAGAATTTGAAGTTCCTTTTATTTTTTTTTTCTACTCTGCTTGATTTTTTTTTTTAATTTTTTTTTTTTTTTGCTTCTTTCAACCTTGATTTGTAAATCAGATGGAAATGTGTGAATAATCAATTCAGGCTGACTAACCCTTGTTTTGCCAGGTGGCTGGCTGGCTCATCAGATTACTAATAGTTTGCTGCTGCAGTAAATGGGAAATGGCAGGGGCTGGGGCAGAAATACCACAGGTGACCTCTAAAGACAGCAAAGCACTCACCCAATGCAACACAATCCCCCTTTTTGTCCATCCATGAAGTTCACTTTTCTTTCAAGTCCCCTTAAAAACGAGGAGTAATTTGTAACTCAGAACTGTGCAAGCAACGTATAAAAGAGGAGAAAATACAAGGCAGGAAAAGTCAGCCTCTGGAGCATGAAAGGAAAGGCAAAGTATGAGCAAAGCCAGGCAATTCTAGATGTAAACTGCTGAGTGTGGTGTGGGGGAACCTTTTCTGCCTTTCCCACCTTGAAAGGCTCTGTGCTATGTGGCACAGAGCAACTCCTAAACAGCTCAGCCTATGGCTCCTTTTTAACTTCATAAAGCAGGGCAATTATTATCTTCAGGAAATTTTTTTAAAGCTGGAACGCTGAGGTTTATCTGCCTTTCCTGGCTAGATCTTTAGCACAGAGCCATCAGACAAAAGCCAGTTAAAAGGACCTTAACTCTGTGTTATCACCAGTGTTTGACTGGGCTGTGCCAATGCCAGAAAGGCTGTCAGAGCAGGGCAACCAGTTTGACTGAAGTTCTCTCCTGAAAGGTGGCAAAAGAGAGAATGGAAAAGGCCCAAGTAATATCAAGGGACAGAAGCAGGAATAGATTTTCAAAGGAGTTGTTGAAGGGGTGAAAAAAAGGAAGGAAATCTCTTCCTGATGCACAAAATGGATGGGTTGGGAAAATTCACATGTATTTCACAGCATGGAATGAGGACTCAGTTGTGCTGCAGTACCAAATGAAGGACGCTGATGTGAAACATCAGTCACAGATGCACAAAAATTCATTCCCAAAATCTTGTCCCAGCCATTGCTGGTTCTCATGAAAAGTTGGCAGAAAAAAGGGATCAAAAGTAATTATATTTGTCTAGATCTGTGCATTTCCCCTGCTGTTAATAAAGGCTTGTAGTGTTTCCAAAGCCTTGAGCAAAACTTAGATATGTGTCAGCTTGCTTTCACTGTCGTGGGGCTCAGAGGAATTAACCAGTTCACAGCTTGAGAAGTGCATGCAGAGATGACAGAGGGATGGAAAAGGAGCTGAGTCAGCTCAGGGGCTGGCACCTGCCACTGTAGCTTGCAATCCTCAGGTTTGGGGTTAAGCCCCAAAGTGGCCTGTAGACCTCAAAATCAGGTCTGCAGTTTGAGGCACTCCCAGCAGATTCATGGGTAAGAAAATATGGTCTAGCTGAGAAAGGAAGTTTCTCTGTTAAAATGTTTGCTCAGGAAAGATGCTGCAATGGATGAAGCTGCAGGGATGTTTCAGCAAGGACAGCCCCAGGCTGGCATTCTATGAAGCAGTGACTTTTGTGCATTTTCCCATTATTCTCTGTTGTGAGGTGACAGGATTGTGCTGTAGTGAGGCATCAGAATTTGTGCCGTTGTATGTCCTGTTTGTTTGGTTTTAACATGTCCTTTGTCTCTGTCTAGAATTGCTGTCTGAGCAGAAAAAGAATACTTTGAATATTTTTCTTGGGTGTATTGGTGTCTATCTGCCTGGTCAGGGCAGCAATTTCCACAAGAGCTCTGGACACCCAGGAATGCTGAAGGCAGTCACTGAGCCTACACACAAGGGCTGTGCTGAAGATTCCCATGGAGTCTGTGTGCACAGCAAAGGGGATCTGGACAGATGTAAAAGGTGCATCCAGAACTTGTCACTGTGTGTCAGTGAGCTTGGGTCAAGGTTCATTCTGTGCTCTGCACTCCCTTCCCAGGTGCTGTGCACTGCCTGCCTGCATTTCTAATACTTTTTTTTTGTTGTTGTTGTTTTTTTTCCCCCACAGGAAAATCTCAGGGAAAAATACAGATGCCTTAGTTACACTTTCCTCATATTTCCATTGCATTTCACCTCCCAGCAGTATAGAAAGGCTGAGATGATCAGTAGGGTTCTTCAGATGTGAAAAAGTATCAGATCCCTCCTCCATCATGACACGCAGCCACACAGGGGCAGGTGCTGCCACAAGGGATGGAGGCTGTGCATCCCCTCCCACAGCAGCACGTTTGGATCTGCTTGAGCCCACTGCAAATTCTCACCTTCCTATCTCCAGCCTCAGAAACAGCCAACAGCACAGCCCTGAAGCTGTACAGTGGGCAAAGGACCCAGCCTCCAGTGGTGCTTTTAGGGAACTGAAAAGGTTGTGGACCCAGTAAAACAGATGAAATTTGAAAAGCAGAACTGGGAAAACCCCGTTTTATTTCCACATGAGGTAAATATGGGACTTCACTGTACCTCTAGCAATTTAAAGAAAGTTCAGAACTACTGTGACTAAAATATGAAGACAGTGCCTTTTGCAAGTAGAAAAATGCAAGTTAGAGAAACATCTAACATGTCCCTGTGCCTAGGTAGATTATAATCATGATGAAATTAAGATCGCAACTTTTGGTTGTTTCCATATGATAAACATGACAAGGGAATTTTGTATTCAAATTCCATTAAAGCCCAGCCTTGTTGGCTTAGATTTTAGCTGTATATAAATTTCATGTCCTTTGCATTGCTAAATCACACTAAACTTCACCTACTCAGGAAACAAAGGGGTTTTAATTGAGAAAAAGCAGTAAAGTGAGGTTTGCCAAACATCTATTTTGGGTAAAAATATTTAAGGCCAACATTTTTACCAACGTAATCCTTTTGACGTCAGTGAAGTTACACTAATGCAGAATTTGGCCCTGATGTATTTGTACAAATATAGAATCTAGGATTTTGATGAGTACGTATTCATGCATTATTCATTGAGACAATGTGGAGAGGAAGAACGAGGTCTGTGCATGAGAGCAGAGCCCTGCGCTCCCCCAGCTCCTTTGATGGTCCCCAGCAGGATGAAGGAGCACCTGTAGGGTCACCCCTGTTCTGCTGCCTGGCCAGGACTTGTTGAGGCTGAATATCCTCTTGGGAAGAGACTGGTTTATGTTTGCCAGGCCGTGGGGTGTGTTACTGGCAATTCTGAAGAAATACAGATGGAGGATATTTTTGTGAGTTTAAATTGAGCTGGATTTGAAAAGGGATGAGACTGCACCTTGGTTCTGCCACAGACCTTTTGTTTGATCCTCTGTGCCTCTGTTTCCCCATAAAATGAGAGTAATACTTCATTTTCCCTGCAGGACAGCAAGGTCTACTGTGGGGAGAAGGAAGGGTGTGCTGTCCCATGTGCCCTCACAAAAGTATGCACAGACCTGTTGTCACAGGACTGCATTCTGATATCTCAGGCTGCACCTTCCCAAGAGAATTGAAAAAAAGCAAAAACTGCATTTGGAAAACCACTGATTGAGCAGAAAACCTGACTGCTGCTGCAGCTGGCCCCACTGTGAGCTTCCTCTGCAGGAACATAGATCCTGATCCATACCAAGTATTGCATAACTATAGTGTGTTTGTGTGTATATGCGTGTCTATACATACACATAAGTTATTATGTGTGTTCATATGAAGAACTGGTGATGTCTGCAGTAACAATGGGGTGTGTGTGTGTGTGGGACATATCTAGCATGCTGGAAATCCCCCCATCAAGCTTTGGCAGGCAGGAAAGGGGCAGGTGTGCAGGTGTGGGGCAGGAGAGAGGGCATGGGGCTCCTCACACCTCCCCAGGGATTCGCTTATCTCCAGGAGATGTCCAGAGGCTTGCACGCTTACAGACTCTCACAGTGGTTTGGGCTGGAAGGCACATCAACAGTCCAACTCCCTGCAAGGAGCAGTGACGTTTCCAACCCGATCAAATTGCTCGGAGCCCTGTCCAACCTGACCTGGAACGTTTCCAGGGATGGGGCATCAGCCGGCTCTCCGAGCAACCTGTTCCGGTGTTTCATCACCCTCGCTGTAAAACACTCTTCCTCACACCGAGGAAGACCCAGCTCAGACCCATTCCCCCCTCCCTGGCCGCCGGCCCCTCCTCCGGCTCCGCGCCCCGCGGGGCTCGCAGCCTGCCCGCGGCACCGCCCCGGGGCCGAGCGCGGCTCCCATTGAGGCCGGTGCCGGGCCGGCCCCCGCCGCGGCGGGGCCAATGGGGGCGGCGGACGCGGTCGAGCCTCTCCCCGGCCTCCCCCGCCGCGGCCGGGCTCCCGTCATGTGAGGGGGATATAGTACTACGGGAGCGGGGCCGCGCTCCGCACCGCGCACCCGCCTCCCGGGGGAGCTGCGCCCGCCTCCGCCGCTCCGCGCTGCCGGCCGCTCCTGCCTCTGCGGGCTGCTGCTTTGGGCTTGCTGGGGCTTAGTCCTGCGCTTTTATTGCGCGCCTGTGGCTTTTTAAATTTTTCTTTGATTTTTTTAATTACTATTTCTATAGTTATTTTTGCCCTTTTAAATTTTTTTAATTTTTTTTTCTTTTTTCTTTTTTTTTTTTTTTTTTTTTTTTTTTTTTTTTTTCGTGGCTTGGTTGTGTTGTTTGGGTTTATTCCCCCCCTCGTTTTCGCTGTTTTCGCGTTCTTCTGGTCGTTCGTGGCCTTTGCTGCCCCCCGGCTCGCAGAGGAGTTCAGGTAAGGGCGGGATGGGGGCGCGGGGGCTGCGCGGGGCCGCGTCCCTCCCGCGGTGCCTCCGCGCCCGCTGCCGCAGCCCCCCGGGCCGGGGCTGAGCCCCGCTGCCGCACGGCCGAGGCGGCAGATGGAATTCCATCCCGGCTGGGGGCTGTTTTCGGGCTGGAGCGGTGCCGTGCCGTGGAGTGACAGGCGGTGAGGGGGGGTTTGTTCCCGATCATCGCGACCACCCTGGTGGGGGGAGAGAGGGAGCTGGGACCCCCAAAGCCTCCTGAAAAGGGATGGGAGGAAAAAGCAATACATAAATAATAATTTTAAAAAAAACCTCTACAAACGGGACGAACAAACAAACAAACCACGATAAAAAAAAAACCCAAAAAACAAACGCCAAACGAACATGTTTTGCAGCCATGGAAGCCTGGCTGTGCTCGTGCCGAAGTGGGAATTCCGTGTGTGTGTCCCGGCACCCCTTTCCCTGCACAGCGGCTGGTGCCACGCGTTTTTTCGGGGCGCCCTTCGCTGCTGGGGGTGCAGAGGCAGCGGGGTGCGCTCCGCCGGGGCCGCTGCCTGTGCCCGCTGCAGGTGAAGTGCTTCCTCTTGTGCAAGCCAAAGTTTGGGGCTGGAGCGGGATAGTTTTCGGAGAAGAAAGCTTTGGGAATGTTTCTGCAGCTTCCCAGGAGCAACGGGTTTGGAAAAAAACAAACCTGAACACCCCACTGTGCCCGGGGAGCAGCACGGCCACCTTGCGGAAGAGATGAGAGCAAATGGGTTTACTCCTGGCTCGCGGCTTCTTTTTATTATTTTTCTCTCCCTTTGCATTTCTCTTTTAATTTCTTAGAAGCTCTGGGCCTGCTTCATTGCCTTGTTTATGGCTCTGTCTGTGAAGCAGAAGTCAGTCTGAACAGATTTAGAACAAGAGAAAACCCTGAAGAGATTAGTCTTAAAGTAGAAAAAGCTGTGGCAGTAAACGTAGGAAATGACTGTCAGAGTCTCATATATGCTGTGTGATCAGTTGTGCTGGGCTGACTGTCCAGAAATGACAGGCTGGGAAATACATTCCCGTGTTTCAGCAAGTTCCCAGCACTTCACATTTTCATGTTGCTCTGCGTCAAAATATGTCTTCTCTGATTTGCTTTTTGTCATTATCTTTTTTTTTTAGCTGGCGATTAGATGGTCAGGTTTTAAACAGAACAACATGTTTTTGGCAGAAAGGACATCATAACAACCCAGGGAACTCTTAAAAAAAAAAGTTGGAGCCGGTGGTGCTGCCGAACAGCTGCTGTATTTCACTCCAGAAGTGGCTGTTTCCAGTGGCTCAGGCACTGCGATCCCACTATAGGTGCTTACATTTCTAACGTGTTTTCAGCGTTCCTAGAGATGAAAGTGTGTTATGGAAACAGCATCATTAGTTTTCACAGCCTTCACAACCCCGGCTTTTTTTGGTTTTGTTTTCTAATCTTCTGTTTTTGGCTGTGTCTTCAGGCAAAGTAAGGATAAAACTATTTTGCTTGTTAGCCTGGCCTTTAGGAAAAAAATATAGCCAGAGCCCGATCCTGCATTCCAGGCATTCTCCAAAATCTTCTTGGCTGTTCTGCAAGCTTTGAGAGTGCACAGAAAGCAGAACTGGCCCGTAATGTGCCTGCATCTATTTGGCTCTGACAGTCCTCTCTTAAAAAACCTCTGGTTACATCGAGTGACATTGTTCCTTGTCAAAAGAGATGGGAAACAAGCCTGCTGGCTGTTTTCTGCTGAGGTACCGGCCCACAGAAATTGCAAGGGGTTCATTATTGTTTTTTCCCCCCTTGTTTAAGTCCTTATTCAAATTACAGTTAGTTCTATTCCCAGGGAAATATATGGATATTTTGATTTTTGGCTTCCCAACTCTTGCAAGCATTTAAAGAAGCCTTGAACATTTTTTTTTTTTTTTTAAGAGAAGATCACCAACTGCTTTTGGTGCACGCAGAGCATGCCAGCTTTTCTTAGAAAAGCACATGTTGGAGTCCAGATTTCCCTCACAGCCCCATTCTTCAGAAGTTTAAACTGGAATAATACAGACTTTGGAGGAAGAAACAGAAACCATCTGAGGGCAAGTCTTCCTTTCTGCCCTGTGTTTCTCAAGGCAATCACCAGTTTTTGGTGCAAGATAGAAACAATCAGCTTGGGTGAATTCTTACCAGATGCCAATACTAATTTGTCAGAAGCAGATGGTGCTTTCTGTTTCAAAACTGGAATAGCTCAGCTAAGGGACTTCTGCTGGGGGAACTTTATATCAACACAGGGATTTAAAAAAAAAAAAAGTGTGTTCATTTTTTCTGACTCTTCGCTTTTACTATAAGACATGATTATAGGCTAAGGTCACAAAACAGAGCCACTAACCTCTGTTTGAACTTCCTCGTGTTCAGCACAGTAGGTATTTCATTATTGGTTCAGAGGCACAGCTGACTGACAGAAGACACAGACCAGGAAAATATGCAATCTTAGTCTTTCTTTCAACCTGTCCCTGTTTCCTCCATGTGTCTATGAAGGAAGAAGCCATATCTTTAAGAAATATGGCTTCCCCCCCCCCTTCCTGGGAAATGTTAATAAGTGTTGCCAACAGGACAGAGCTCTTTAAGGGTGTTGTGTAAAATACCTCGCTCCGTGTTCTGCAGCACTGAGCATACACACGCCTTTGATTTTTCTCCAGAGAAGGAAAGATGGGGTAAATTTTGGAGATGAGGCAGCAAAGATGCTCTGCAACAGCAGTAACAACCATCCTGTCGCCTGCACAAAACTGGGAGCTATTGACTATTCATGGCAAAGCGTCCAGAGCGCAGCGGCAGAGCCTGTGGAAAATGACAGCGTGTAACAAGATTGACTGGCATTTCCTTCACGCCGGGTCACATGCCTCCTAATTCACACACACACACCAGCTCATAGGCTGATCGAATGACTTCTATCTCTGCAGTCCACATACCTTCCACAGAAAGAGTTGTTTTATTATGCACATGTACAGCTCCGTTTCCAATCAGTCACCTTGAGCAAATGACTGAGGGCCAGTGTTCGCTCCATCCCGAGCCCTCTGCCTTTGCTCTCTAAGGGGCATAATCTCCCTCCGTAAGCAATTTTTGGTTTTTTTTTCCCTCGGGGAGGTGGGGAACACGCAGATGTCCCTCCTGCCTGTCCCTCCCCAGTGGCCTTTCTAGGAAGTTTGCTTGTGTTAGCGGGTGAAGCGCAGGAGAGCCGCGGCTGGCAGCGGCGCTGGGTGGCCGCGCTGCCCGGGGTGGGGTTTGCTGTTGCGGGCTCCTGGCGGGATCCGGGCTCACAGGGATTTGCGGGATGCTGCCCCTCGGGGGCAGGTCGGGATGCCGGGGCCGTGCAGCTGGCTCGGGGCTCAGCTCAGCCCCTGGAGCGGAGGGGTGAAAGCGGCCACCAGCTGGCTGGCAGGGCATGGTAATTAGCTCAGTGCGGTGCCAGCCTTATTAAGGACAGTGCAGGTGATGATGACGTTGGCACACTGATTCATTACATCTGGAGGGGAAAATCCACCTAGTAAATGCTGAAGCACAGTAAATATTTTTGGCTCCTGCCAGATTGATCCTTTCATTATGCTGAACAGCCTATATTTGTAGAACTGAGGAAGTTAAAAATAAGGTTGGTGGAAAGCTACAAGATAGGGAAAGAATTTGCATTTTATGGTCGGCAGCAATAAACTTTTTTTATTTGTTTCTTTTTGGTGGTAAAAATTTCAACACTTTATTTTTTTTTTTCTCATTCCCTTCTTTGGCTCTGGATTTCACTGCTAGGTGAAAGCTTGTTATTTATTTTCTCTTGCTGGTAATATTCTATAAGGGAGCTGTAAATCTGGAGCTCCACACGGTTGGGAAATGATTTCTGACAGCATTCTTTTGCAAATATGTGGTGCAATCCTGCAAACGCTTCAGCCCTGACAGTCCTCGGGGGGTGGTGCAGACGTATCAAAGCTTGTAGCAGCCTGTGTACCCAGGGAGGCTGGATGCTCTGGACTTTCCTGTGGGCTAGAGGGCTTTACGAGTTTCAGTTCATGGAGATAAATGATTAAACCAACTTCTGACTGTTGCTGTTTTGTTTTTCCTGCACTTAGGCTCTCACCTGAACTTTGGCTGCCTGGTATATGCTGTTGGGATATCCATAGGAGATCATCCAGGAATGGTGGATCACTTGCTGCCTACTGATGAATCCTTTTCATCCACAAGATCTTCTCTTGGATACTTTGGGGACATGACAGCAGGCGTGAGGTCCTACCAAATGCTGCCCTCTCCCCTGTCAGAAGATGACAGTGACTCGTCCAGCTTTTGTTCTTGTTCCAGCCCTGACTCCCAGGTCCTCAGCTCCAGCTATGGAAGCACATCCAGTGCAGAAAGTCAGGACAGTATCTTAGACTATTTATTGTCCCAGGCATCTTTGGGGAACACCACTGCATCATGGTGGGACAAAAGGAGACTTCAGCCAATAGTGAAAGAGGAGTACTTTAGGTTGCCTGAATTTCCCGTGGATATGGAAGACTCAGGACCATTTCAGCCCACGCTTGAGGAAATTGAGGAATTTTTGGAGGAGAACATGGACTTGGAGCTCAAAGAAAGACCTAAAAGCGAGACCAAGGACTTGAGAGCTTGCAGCCAGGTTTCTGTTGCTTCGCTGCAGCAAAAAGACCATATGTTACCCAGTACTAGTTTAAAAGAGAGTAAAAATGAGCAGTTGACTAGCTCAACGGAAGGTGGCCAAGCTTCAAATGGAGGAATGACCCTGGAGAATGGAATACCGGTTATGCTCCAAATTCAGCCTGTGCAGATCAAACAGGAGTCCAGCACGAGCCCCACTTCCCAAGGACCAGCACAGGAGAACATTAAAATTGCACAGCTCCTAGTCAACATCCAAGGACAGACATTTGCCCTTGTGCCTCAGATAGTTCAGTCGTCCAATTTGAACTTGTCCTCTAAATTTGTCCGCATTGCTCCCGTCCCCATCGCCGCCAAGCCAATTGGGCCAGGAGGCATGATCCAGGGGCAGACGGGAATCATCATGGGTCAGAAATTTCAAAAGAACCCCGCAGCTGAACTCATTAAAATGCATAAATGTTCTTTTCCTGGCTGCACCAAGATGTACACAAAAAGCAGCCATTTGAAAGCCCACCTGAGGAGGCACACAGGAGAAAAGCCCTTTGCGTGCACGTGGCCGGGCTGTGGATGGAGGTCAGTATTGGGGTGCAGCTCTGTCCAGTCCCCCTTCCCTCTTTTGCTCACCTGACCTAACTTGCTGAGCAAGTAGGTTTGTACTGTGATTTATAAACTGTTTCTATTGCCAGAACTTGTTTGGTTGGTTTGACAATGAAGACCATTTTTTCTTCCTGTTAGGTAACCCAGGGGTTTTGATAAATTAAATAGCACAGCATCACCTGCTGGCACCTGTTTTAGTGTCTTAAAAAAAATAAAATAGTCTGTCATAATTTGTATTTCGTTCTAGAGGGTCAGATTAAGCTTGTTACCACAGGTAAGACCTGGTGTTTGCATTGGTGTGGTTGCAGCACACCAGCCCCAGCAGAGCCGTGGCTGGCACCAGCTGAGGCTGAGGGAACTGAAAGGTTTAGGGCAGAATTGCTGTGCACAGCCCTGTGTGGGACTAAACATGGCCAGTGAAGGGCTGTGATAAGCAAGTATGGTTAAAAGCAGTGTTCTGTGCACTTTCATAGAAAATGCACTCCATCCCACTCCTTCTTAAAATGCTGGCAGTGACACTCTGGCATACTCTGGGTTTTATTCTCTGTCTTGATTCAGAAAAATGCGTGGGTGCCACTCAAAGTTGCAAAAAAGCTGTCAGATGTAACAACATAACCAGAAGGCTGAGGTGGAGTTAAGCATTGCTTGAATGAAAGATTGCAGGTTTGATTGAGAAAATGTTTGGCAGAGGAATTTTAAAAATATTTTATTTTATTTTTAATATGAATTGAAAAATTTAGTCTTTTTAAAAAATATCAGCTTTTTATTTTAAAGAAGCTTTGACAGGTGCCTTCCTCCCTCTTTCCACTTAGCTGTATAACTGGCTTGCCTGCTGGCAAGTGCTAATGTACAGCACCACAAATGATGATGGGAGAAAATACTATCTTAACTACCTCGTGTTAAATTAAATTGAATTTCTTGCAAATAATATGCTGCAGAGCTTCAGTGAGCAATGTCTAATGAGAAAATGGGTTGTGATCATGGGCAACAGATGAGGTAAAAAGTAACAGGAGAATGTTGTGCAAAAATGCAAGTATGTGAGACACGCAGCAGTTAGAGATGGCTGGGTTGGTTTGAGGGAAAAGGTCACAGTGGAGCTGAACCCTCTCTTCTCCAGCTGGACCAGTCTGAAGTTTGTTTCTCAGAAGGGCTGAGGAGGTCAGATGATGGTGGCTCTACAAACTGGTGGTGATTTGTTTCCTTTTGCCTTGGCAGCACCTCTCATGGGCTCAGTTTGCTGCTCAGGGTATCCTCTCACCAAAGCTGCATTTTTCAGCTGATTGGTCCCAGAAACTGCAGGCTGGTTGCTCCCAACCTGCAGGACAGGCACCTGCTGCTTTTGATTTGGTTGGCAGAGTACGTGTGCACAGGCAGCAGATGTGCCTGTGGGTGTCATGCTGGCTTTCCTTGCATGTGAGCACAGCTCTCCTTTTTGTGACAAATGCATGTGGCACGTGAAGGTTTGTCTAATCCACACTGAGATGTGTACCAGCGCTCCCAGGGACTTTTGTGGCTCAGGATCAGGAGCCTGAAGCATTGCCTGTGGATGACCTTCTCCAGCTCTGTCTTATCACAGAGCTGGTGTTCCCCAAGATATAAAACCAAGGGGAACATTTAGGAAAAATATTAAGTGATAAAAGTTGATTAAATTCACAACAGGTGCTTCTCTTATTGAAATGTTGTGGTGAATGATTTGCTTCATTGGCTGCTGATCCCAGAGCCTGCAGCACCCTGAACTTTCAGCCACCACAACTTTTTAAAGATGAGCCCAACAGGAAGGAGAAATTAATCACCTTCATAATGAAGAACATGTGTCTTGTCCACAAACAGCTGCTGCAAAGGGCTTTTCAAACTCTTGTGCTGTTTGTCATGTTGAGTTTCGCAGCCTGGGCTGCAGTCTCAATCCCCAAAACCCCTAAACTTTGGAAGGGCTGTGCTACAAGAGGAGAAGTTTATAGCCAGCAGGAGAGGCTGTGTTTGGGGAGAGGCTTTTGTGCTCACAGCAATCCTCAGCACCAGCCTGAGATTGCTGCACATCCCCTGCATGCTGCTCCACATCAAAGGCCAGACCCAACTGAGCATTGAATTACTCAGTCCCCTTTCATCAATAAACCATGTTTACCTTTTCAGAAGTTCAGTGAGAGCTGTGACTTAAGTCTCACATGACTTAAGTCCACTGCATCTGGCCACTCTGTTTGCTTCCACTTCTACATAATCTCAAATGAATTTAAGTACTAAAACACTGCTGGACTCTGCTTTCCCCCTTTTTCCCTGCATTCTTGTGCTTGTGTATTTATTTTTTCACTGAAGACACTTAAGAGCTGATCTCACTGGAGATAGTAATTTCAAAACCAAAACAAAGTGTTGCCTAGCACAAAGTGCCTGAGCTCAGTGGGAGGGTTAAAGGTTCCTCAGCTCTCTGTACACAATGTTTTAAATTCATCAGGGTTGGAGTGTGCACCCAGCAAACCCTTTTGCTAACCCCTAGCATGGCTGGAGACCCCTAGCCCCTCCCTGATGGAGGCTGAACCCTGCTTGCTTGTGCCCTTCCTAGGCATGGGGCAAGGGCTGTTTTTGGCAGTCTGCAGAGTGGTGCTCATCTGGCAGTGGCCAGTGACCCGTTGTGCTCCCTGGACGGGTCAGGGCACTGATCTGAGTCGTGCCACCTTCTACCTTTGGCACCCCAGCCTCTGGTTAGCACTGCTCAGCTCTTTGGCCTGGGCAGGGCCCAGCAGCTGTGCTATGGCACAGAGCAGGAGAAGCTCCTGCTTCCCCTCCCTGGCACAGAACTGTGCAAAGCTGCAGCGGCTGCAAGGCTGGGGGATGAGGCAATCGCCTTTAAATGCCCCACTGCATCTTCTGGCTGGTGACAGCATGAACCATAAGCTCTGCCTGGTTTGGCAGGGAGGGTTTAAGGGCTTGTAACACGTGTGGCCATGGGCAGTATCACACATGGGGCAGGGCAGGCTTCTTGCTCTGGCTTTTCTTGCTGCTGCTGGGCAAGGGGATGACAGGTGCACAGGAGCTGTGCTGGTTCCTTGTAGGAAAGCTCTGGGGATGGGCAGGAGGGATATGTCTGGAGGCTTCCTCCACTGGAGGAGAGGTACAGTCTGAGTTGGCATCAATGGCTGGTGGCCATGGCAGGGACAGGAGTACCAGGCTAAAGCTATTGACCTTTCTGGCCCCATGAGGGACATAGGAATGTCCCCATATGTCTGGGAGACACAGAACATGTCCAACACATCAGGGAGCTCTCATCAAGGACTTTCTTCAAGGGAGATGTAGTTACAGTCCTTGGGGTCCTGCCAGATAGAAGGATGAAGAAGGCTCTTTTAGTTGCTGTGGGATTTCCCAGATCCCTTCACTTTTCTTTTGAAGGAGGAATCCTTCTGGAAATGGCAGTGACAGAATAGTGAGGTATTCCTTGGGGCTTCCTTTTTTTTTCTTTTTTTTTTTCTTTTGAATTTTGCATTCCACAGTGGATTATTTTCACTTTCTTTGGGTTGCTCTCAGTGCCAGAGTGTGTTGCAGATATTTCACTGCAGAGCCAGACCGCCAGATCCTCCCAGCTTCCTTGTCCTAACCTTTGCGTTGTTTTTTTGTAAACACACAGACAGCTTGAGGTTTATTTCTGTGGGCTCTGTAAGTTGATCTTTCCGTCACTGCTGGGGAACAGTGTTGCAACATTCCTGCCTCTTCAGCTAAGGACATGGTTATGAGGCAGAGTGTATTTTTATCGGATGAACTCATCCAAGCTCATTCCTGACATGTGCCTCTTTCTCCCCCACCATCCGTGTAATTCCCCTCAAAATGCACTTGTGAGGCTCTTGTGCAGGATTAGCCAAGTGCTACTGCACTCCTGGTGCAGATGGTGACCTTAGTGGCCAAGGACATAGGACAAGGCAACCCAGCCACATCTGTTTTTTTTTTTTCCTTTGAAGTCTGTATATAAGAGGATATCTCTTTGCAAAAGTGCTTTTCCTCTTTTCCCTGGATGTGGCACAGCCCTGTTCCTTGTCCAACACAGTCCTGTTGAGGCAGTCTGCACAGGGAGCATCCTACACTCTCCAGGCCCACTCACCATAGCTCTACAAGAGCATCCCTGCAGGGATCTGGCACTGGGACTAGCTCACTGCTAAGGACTTGGGAGAAATCCCTGACCCTGCTGCTCCTGGGTCCAGACTGTGTTTTTGGGAAGCTGTGGCTGAAAGGACCAGGGGTATTAGAGAAAGCAAAAATGCAGGTAGAAGGTATGAAGAGAAACTTCAGCCACAGCCTTTATGAAGAAGAGTCATCCCAGACAAGGAACAGGTGGACAGTTCCATAACAGCTGCCTGTTCATCATGGAGAATTTGACTCTTTAGCCATGAGGATACCAGAGCAACGAAAGGAAGAAAAGCAAGTGAATAGGTGAAAGAATCTCCCCTAGAAATGCACCTGGGACAGATTCCCACACCATACTTTACTTGTGGTGAGTGCCTGGATCAGCTTTCCAGGGGCTGAGTGCTCTCTGGGGAGCACGACCAGCCTGAAGAGCTGCAGCAACTGAGGAAACCATTACCAGCTTTCCCAGTGCCTGTGCCCTGGTCCTCAACTGTTGGCAGGAGATCAGAGCTAATTAAAACCTTTATGTGGAAACTTACTTTTCTTGCATGAGGGATTTATTCATAGGAACCCAGCAGTCCTGTTTTCTCCCTTTCATAAAAATAGTGTATTTGCTCTGTTGGTGATGAGATATTTTGCTCCAGAAGGGCACATTTTTCTACATGTTCTTTCCCTGATTTGTTCAGCTAGTGCCCATGACTTCACTTATTTATTGTAAATAAACAGCTGATACCATTTTTTGCAAGCTCTCTTTCTGTGCTGCTCTTTGTTACTGCTCTGGCAACAAAACACTTAATTGCCCTTTGTCAGGCAGCAAATTTTTTGTACCCATCTGGACAGGGCTGTTTTAGTGTGACATTGTTAATTAACCCTCTGTCTCCTAGTCATGTCCAAAGTGGAAATAGAGCCAGCCCTGCCCTTAAGGCCAAAGGATTAGCTCATTTGGGTTCAATAAAGCCTGTGGGATTCATGGTGGCTATTTGGGGATTTTTCTGTGGAGATGGAAGGTGGAAAATATCTAAAATTCAAAAGACTATGGAATACAGTTTTGGTAATTAAAGGCTCATTCTTGATTTAATTTACCAATGCTAACTATGCAAATAACTATGCAAATGACCGTTGGGACCCACCTGAATTTCAGCTGTTGGGATGCTGAGCATCTCTGGTACTGACTCTTTATTTAGCCTGCAGGAGCACACATGGAAGCCAATTTTTCATCTGGATCCAATAAGTCATGTTGTTTCTAGGTAGCTATGGCTGGATTTATCTGGAATCCCTCTCAAACTGGGTGCAGTTAGGGGTGTCTGTTGTGCTTGTGTCAGTAACAGTGGTTGTTGTCTGTGCTTGAGGAGCCTGTGCTTGGATCTGCAGGGGAGAGATGGTGGGGGTGGCTTTGGAGGGACTGCAGGAGGATCGAGGGCAGCGCTGCTTTTGTCAAGCTGTACCCGTGTCATGGGGTCCAGGATGAGGCTGGTACAAATGCTGCCTCCGTGCATTGCCCTGAGTCCAGGGCTGGCAGCTCTGTGTTCCCATCACTGCTGCCTCCTGTGAGCTGGGACCAGCCCAGCCCTGCTGTGTGTCCCTTTCACCTCCTGGAGTCTCCCAGTGGCCTGAGAGGATTTTTCAACTCGCTGTGACAGCCTTAGCACAATAAACCCCCATTTATCTGAAAAGGCTTCTCCTCTCTTGCAGGTTCTCCAGGTCGGATGAGCTGTCCCGGCACAGGCGCTCCCACTCGGGGGTGAAGCCCTACCAGTGTCCAGTGTGCGAGAAGAAGTTTGCTCGCAGTGACCACTTGTCCAAGCACGTCAAGGTGCACCGGTTCCCGCGCAGCAGCCGCTCCGTGCGCTCCGTGAACTGAGGGCTCCTGCCTCCCCTTCCCGCCGGCCGTCCCGCACCAGCCCACCGCAGCACTTTGCTCACTATGGTTCTAGTGATAATTTATTTGTCACTATGTTTCTAGTGATAATTTATTTGTCTCCACAGAACAGTCAATGCTGTTACTTGACACCACCATGTTTGAGTGCCCCATGTCCTTCAAAGATGATTTGGGAATGAAGCTCTTTTTGGGTCAGGGGAGCGGGGTGCTTCTTCCTTTTTTTTTTTTTTTTTTTTTTTTTTTTTTTAGGATTTTTTTTTCTTTTTCTTTTTTTTTTTCTAAGGATATTATTTTCCTTTCCTTCTATCTGTCTCTCCTTTGCTGCTGCTGCTTCTTTTGGAAATTACAGTGTTTTATTTTTAGCTATTTTCTGCTGCACAGGAAAATGTAAAAGTTGCTTGCTGCTAGTTAATTATAGCCCTGGCATTCCTGAGGGCTTTGCTCATGTACAGGCCACTCATTGTGAGTTTTTATTAAGCTGCTCTATTTGTCCAGTTTGGAAACAGCAAATTCCTTTTGAAATGAAAACAACTTCTTTGTTTTTGGGTTGCCTGAGCCAAGGATTTGTAGGGGCTGGCCATAGGAGGAGGAACAGTGGGAGTTGGGGATAGGGGGAGACAGGGCTTGGAGAGCACTGGAATGTGCCTCCATGCATCTCTGATTTTCCCAGCTCACATTTACCTTTCCCTTGGCGAGGGCTATATATAAATATTTATGTATACATATTAATTCATATATATATATATATATATATATATATATATATATATATATATATATGTGTGTATATATATATATATATATTTAAGCAAAGACACATCCCAAGCAAGCCCAGAAGCTCAGGCTGGATGGAATGGCTTGGAGTGAAGCCTCTGGAACTGTGTGTGTGCTTCTGTCCTGTGCTGCCAAGGGGTGAAAGGATGCCCGGGTTCCAAAGGACACTGCTTTCCTTTGAGGCTGGTCTGCAGCATCACTGTCTTTAGCAGAAGAGCTGTTGTCTGCCCACAAGGCAGCACAAAGGTGTTTGTGAGAGCCTCTGAGCTCTGTTCTGTCTCTGCTCCTGCCCTCTTGTGCCACCTGGGGCGAGAAAGCAGAGCCCCAGCCCTGGGGGAGCCTGGTGGGCGCTGGGCACCCCCACACCCCTGAGGGTCAAGGCTGCCTGGTGGAGCTCACTCTGTTTGCTGGCAGGGTCTGCAGGATGTGCCTGTGCCCAGGGAGGGTGGGAGGAACCACGACCTGGTGGGACAGCGCTGTGAGACCGAGGTCTGGGCGTGATCCTCAGTGCTGCTCCTCTCCCTCCCAACAGCCATGTCAGAGCTCCGTGCAGCTGGGGTGGGAGAATGGGTGAGAACAGCAGCCAAAAGAAACAAATTTGTGTGATAGCTGGCTAAGAAGGGAATTAAAGCAAATAATCAGATGGTAGCAGGCAAGTGATTTTATTTCTGTTTCTTCTTGTTTTGTTTTTCCTTTTGAACTCTGGCGATTGTAAGAAGCTTTAGAAGAAAATAGGATTCAGTAATTAGGAATGATTTTATAATGGATGTTGCATTTCCTTTCCATTTGCAGACGGCATCTGTTTGTCTTTTCTGTTGGCAAAATGGGAAGTAGGAAAGTGTGATCCTAGAGCTAGGCAGAGCAGGAGCCCATGCTGTGTGAGAACGGCAGGTCTGGCTAAAGTGAATGCATTCCTTTTGTCCTCTAGAAATTAATATAAATGAACTATCATCTATTGACTGGTTTATATCACATCCTATGAATGTATGTAAATAAAACTGTACATAGATGCATATCTATATAAAATATCTTTTAATAACGTATCAAATTTGTGTAAATTGGAAACAAAAATACCTATAAAGCCAGTGTACATAAGTTACAATTCTGTATATTTTCTTTTGTTCTTCATAAAAATATATTTACTTTGACAATAAAATGAAAATGGAAATTTTAAATCCCTCCTTGAAATTATTATTCATTAATTTCCTTTATAGCCAGCTCTTTAATCAGGACACTTGAAATTTTGATTCACCTGGATGTAACTTTTCAGGTGCTGTGTAACAGGGAGACGATGGATCAGTTCTGAAGTTATCTTCAGTTTTTCTCATCTCAGAAAGTTCTTGGGAGGCGCGAGATGTCTCAGCTGTCTCTCTTCACTGGAGCCCTCACGCCTTGCTTGGCAGCCACGCTGGGACACAAACGCCTTCCATGGCTCCTGACTGCTGTGGAACAGGTCTACAGATGCAGTAAAATGGTGGTTCATAAAGTAGAGCAAGCAGGTTTTGAAGGAATTCCAGCTTTAGTGGTTAGTGTGGAGGAGGAAGGGCTTCAAATTCTGCTTCAGACTGTGGCGGTGACTAACCCAAGACAAAGGACTCGATTGCCTTCTGCAGTTCCCTTTCTTGTAAAACGGGGATAATAACACATGGCAATGATACTGTGGGACTTAATTTGTGTTTGTGTGATCCTTGGATGGAAGGAGCAAGCAATGAGGCTGGTAGTCACAGGATTAGATTGTTAAAGACAGGCCCAGCATGATGGTCTTGGTGCCAGGGCGCCTCAGTTGGCTCTTCTGTAAATCCCACGCCTGAAAGAGCGATGTGGAGGAGCTGTGCTAGGAAGAATTGCCTCAGGCCTGAGGAGAAGACGCCCTGTTCTGCAAAAGCCATTGCTTCCATTTGTAACAACAGGGGCCTGAACACCGTGCTCTTGTGACCTGCAAGCTGGGACATGCCTTGCACTGCGCTTCTGCTTGCCTTGGCCTCCACTGGAAGAAGAAACCAGCACCACGACTGGTGTTAAAGTCACTTCTGAGTCTCCATGGGAGCAATGGTGCAGTGGGTCCAGATCTTCTCCCAGCAAGAATCATTCTGAGACTAACAGGCACTGAGGGATTAAAGTCTCTCCCTGAAGAACAGCCACCAAAAAGCGCCAGCTGACGAGCCAGGGCTCTCCAGACCCGTGATTATTTTTCCCAGAGAATCCCTTTGAGTCTGGCAAGAGGACTGAGGGATGAGGCAGACTAAGTTCTGTGCAATCCAGGTTGTTGTTACCTCCTGAGGTGTAGCTTGAAGACCAGAGTGCTCAGGACAGTGGTTTTAAGCTTTAATTAGCAAGCCTGCACCAAGAGGATCTGCAATTCCCTTCTGTTCTCACCCTATCCACTTCATCCATTAAACCAGCTGCTTTTTTTAACCAGCATCTCAGTCTCTTCCCTGTCTCACCTGGAGTTCTGATATTGCTGTAAAGTTGGGCAATTCACCCTGCAAGGCCTTTGGGGCAGAAGTTGCTATTTTTCTGCAAGAGGTAATACTTAAAGCTGAAGTGGAGTAATGCAAAATGCCGACTGTTGGAGCACAGCAGGGCAGAAATCTAAGTTTTGTTTTAGCCTATAGTATTTTCCATGAAATGTGTATTCTCTCTCTCTTTTCTTCTCCTTTCTCTCTTGTGTGTTTTAAGTATGGGTTTTGAGTGTGAGTTGTGTGGGTTTTTCTAGTTAATACCTAAGGAAATGTAAGTTTATATAAAAATTGCAATATTTTGCTGAAAAAAGTAGGGCCATGTTTGCTGTGAAAGCAGAGTTAGTTCTGCTTGAAATGATTGATATTTTCAGAGTTTTGACGTAAAATAGTAGAAATTGTCAAAACAGATTTTGATGTTTGTTTCATGTGGAATTACTGGCCTGGCTGGACTTTGCGGATTCATGAGGAAAAAGTGGCCGTGCCTTAAGCCTGACTTAATCCACCGGAAGATAAACATATATTTAAGTGTTTTGATGCCACAACTGGATAAGTTGTCCCAGCTTCAGCAACTCTACACGGCAAAGCACAGCACTGCATGATTATACATATGCCTAAGTCTCATTGACTTCAAACCTCTGTAATTTGGTTTCTGAGGTGTGAGTGGACAGGTGTGCAGAGGAGCAGCCTTCACAAAATGATCGTGATCTGGCTCCTAATGCTTGCCAGAGCTTTGTGTGTTTTTAAAAGGTTTGTGGTCCCTTTGTCAGAACTTTGTCAGAACTGTGGTGGAGGGGCAGTGTTAGGACAGGTAAGGAGCTGTCAGCTGGGGAGGTTGTACTCGAGGTAAGGGCTAAGCAGGAGGAGTAGGAGTTAAGTGATCTTTCTGTGGGGTGACCTGACTTCTGTGACCTGTGGCTAAACATAGTGCAGTGCAGTGATGTGTCCGAGACCGCAGAGCAGCACGGAGGGGAAATGGGAGCAGAACCAAGATGTCCTAAATCTCCTTTGCCCCAGACAGTGGCACAGACCACACACCAGTAACACACAGGAGGCAAACAGTAATAGCACACGTGAGATATCAGATAAGCAAAGAAGGATAAGGACAGGACATAGGTAAAGTCAGGTTGCACTGATAATGTGTGCTTTTGGAAAGGATGCCAAGGGGAGAGGAATGAGATCTTGCTTGCTGGTGTGCCACACGTGGGAGTCACCAAGGTAAAGCTTCCTAGCAAGAGTTCTGCCCCCCTGACCTGTGTTGTGTGGGGGCTTTTTACCCTGGTGGTTTTGAGGAGAGCTGCACCCCTGTGGAAAGCAAACCAGCCCATGGAGCAGGGTGTTGTGATGGAAGGCAGCAACTCTGGCTCCCTGGGGGAGTGCTTGAGTTTGGATCCTGTGATATTTGCAACAGTCTTCTGCTTCCCACCCTCCCTGGGGGTTGTTTTCACTGAAGTCCTTGTGCCAGGAGCCTTCTCCTTGTCTAAATGGCCACTATACATTTAATCCAAACAACCAGGTGACTCCAGCACAAAGGCAGTGGCAGTAATCCAGTGTTAATGATTACCCTGGGCCCCTTGGGTTATGTAAGCCTGGATGTGCTGTACTCGGCTCTCGGCTGGGACCTGCCCTCCCTGTCTGGGAGAAATACCAAGGACCTGCCAACACACATAGAAAGCTCTTTGGAGCCAGCTGGGATTTTCCTTTTGACAGCACCTATGAAACCCGTTATTCACTCAGTTCAGCGATTGCCATGCCATGCTTGCTTGTTATTCAGAGACGTTGCTCTTAAAGAATGAGTTGTGCTAAGCTCCCACTGGCTTCGGCACAAGCCAAAGACAGTGACTGCCATGGCTTATCCAGGGGAAAAATTTCCCAGCTAAGGCAGGAACTGCAAATCCCAACAGGTCTTTGGCTTCCCTTGCTCATTCCTGCTGGGACATTTGTGTTTTTGTCGCTTTTAATCTCTTGTTCCATGAGTCTTAGTTTTGGGGTTTGAAGGTGTGTGATGTGTGAAAAATAGGTATTGAAGAATATT